ATGAATCAGCACAATATTTAAAGCTATTAGTATTTGAAATAAACAGAAATACAATGCTCTTTATATTTTAATTCTCTTGTATGTGCAGAATGAAGACTGCTGTCCAGGATGTTAGTGTGTTAATGACAAAGCATGCATATATATATATATATATATATATATATATATATATATATATAATTGTTGTAAAATTTTATTACTTTACATTGCTGTTTCTTTTCTGCTTGCAGCAAAGTAAATCAGCTATATGCATACATATTGGAGAAGGAAATGGCAACCCACTCCAAGATTCTTGTCTAGAGAATTCCATGGACAGAAGAGCCTGGTGGGCTACAATCCATGGTTTGGCAAAGAGCTGGACACAACTGAATGACTAACATACATACACACATATATCAACACTTTTTTTGGATTTCCCTCCCATTTAGGCCACCACAGAACACTCAGTAGAGTTCCCTGTGCTATAAAATAGGTTCTTATCCATGTTGTATATAGTATCAATAGTACAAAAAAAAAAAAAAAAGAAAGAATAAGGGGAAGGTGCTGGGAAAGATTGGGGACAGGATGAGAAGGGGATAACACAGGATGAGATGGTTGGGTGGCATCACTGCCTCAATGGGCATGAGTGTGAGCAAACTCCGGGAGATAGTGAAGGACAGGGAAGCCTGGCATGCTGCAGCCCATGGAGTCACAAAGAGTTGTGCATGACTTATTGATCAAACATAAACATCAAAGATGTATATGTGCTGATCCCAATCTCACAATCCATCCCACCCTCCGCTTCTCCATTGGTATCCATATGTTTGTTCTCTCTACATGTGTGTCTCTGTTTCTGACTTGGAACTAGGTTCATTAGTGCCACTTTTCTAGATTCCATGTGCATTAATATATGATTCTTGTTTTTCTGTTTCTAACACACTTCACTCTGTCTGACAGTCTGCAGGTCCACTGATATGCCTGCAAATGTTTGAGTAGCACTCCATTGTGTGTATACAGTGTTTGTGCCTTGGAAATCCCATGAGTAGAGGAGCCTCGTGGGCTATGGTCCATGGGGCTCAAAGAGTCCGAGACGACTGAGCATCTAAACAACAGCAAAATCCACATCTTTATTCATTACTCTGCTGATGGACATTTAGGTCACTTCCATGTCCTGGCTTTTGTGAATAGTGCTGCTGTTCATTGGGGTGCATGTACTTATTGAAATTATGGTTTTCTGTGGGTATATAGAATTTAAGCAAATCTGTCAGAAGTACATAATGTTATCTAGGGGATTAAGTAGCAAATTAGAATGGAAAATACTTTAATATGAGTTTATATGCTTGCAAGAATTGGTCAAGACTTAGCGATTAATCCACCACACATCATTTTGTGTCTATGGATGATTGTGTCTAACTTTAGCGGTTTCTTCTATACTTCTTCACAAAGTTTCAGTTTAATCTTCATGACCTGCAAATGTATGGAACATCCTACACAATTTCTTTAAGAGAGGAAAAACAGTAGAAGCTTTTGTCTTATCATGCGTTGATTTTAGTAACATGTCTTTCAAGTAATGTGTTCATTTCATCAGGAGTGTTAATTCCAAAAGTGTGTATCTCTTTGTAGTTTCTTCATGGTCTTTATCATATTGATTTGTGGTGATAATCCCTTTTTACTACTATAGCTATCACAAATACACACAGTCATGCACATATGCTTATATACATATGTAGATATATACATAAATAAATATATGTATGCATGATATTTCATAATTTTTGACTTGTTTATGCAAGGTCTTCCTTTTCAATGTTTCTTAAGAGATTCACCCTCTTACTCTGTGTTCAGTTGGACATCTGTGTATCCACTCATCCAATGTCCAGCACCAGACATTCTATGAAGACCAGAGTCACAACTCCAATGGCATACAACATTGCTCTTGAGTGAGTACTGAGTGAAAGACGTTCAGTCATGCCTGACTCTTTGCGACCCCTGGAACTATAGACTCCATGGAATTCTCCTTTCCAGAATACTGGAGTAGGTCGCTTTTCCCTTCTCCAGGCAGTCTTCGAAACCCAGGAATCAAACCCAGGTCTCCCACACTGTAAGCTATTCTTTACCAGCTGAGCCATAAAGGAAAACCAAACATTGCCCTTGACCTCCATTAGCACCAAGTAAGCCATGGAAACATTCATTACTGGTACCTTTGACATTGGCCAGCCATAGCCCATTAAAAAGCCATGTAAGAGATAAAACATTTATTCTGTTACATATCACTTTAGTCTAATTAATTTTCCCAGCTCTCATACCAAATCTCTGAGCTTTGGCCCAACCTTTGAAATAAATTGTGCATCTTGAGAGTGTTCGATCCTGCAGATTTTAAAGAGCTAGAACCCCATGGGGAGCTGACCAGTGTGCTCTGCCCATGACAGTGGGGATGTCCAGCCCTTGGAAATCCTAGCATTCCCTGCTCTTTCAAGCACAAGACCATCCTTGGATGCTATGAACAGTTACACCTTCCTGTCTAGCTGTCAGTCATCTTGTTCCTCCAAGCAGTGCACTGACTTCATGATACTATGAGTTGACCAAGGTTCACCCGCTGCCCAACATGGATTACTTATGATCCAATAGTTAAGAAGCATCAGCCCTTCAGCTCAATTGCGAAAGTGCTGGTGCTCTCAGAATAGCCTTTTCCCCTCAGTTGTGGCCCATGGCATCTTACACTTTCTCTCTATGAAGCTCAGAGAGTGGAACACAAGCTCCCCTCCCTGTGATGAACATGATGCTTTCTAGCGACATCTTGCTGGAGCAGACTGCCCCCTCCCATCACAGTAAGAGGATCCAGAACCACGTCCCCTGTCCTGTGATAATTTAGTCATTTTTTATCCATCTCCCCTGGAAACCTCTAGGACATCTCTAGTTAATCTTCATCAGAACTGTCTCTGATGTAACCCTTATTCGCTTAAAGGCATATGTTCTTGGTAATTCAATTCAATGTGCATAATTTGCGCCTTTTAGAATAGAGGACTTTTTGCACACATACACCTAGTTGAGTGTGTTAAACAAATTTATTTAAACCCTCAGAAATCAAACACCACCAAGCAGGATGTAATTAGGGACCAGGAGGGATGAGATGGGAAAGGGAGTGTTGAGTGTGAAGAGAGGAGGATCATGTTAATCAAGAACCAGGAAAGTTGTCTTTGTGTTGCTGATCTTGATTCCATGCAGATGAGCACGTGTCTGGTCTCAGAGACTCTTTCTGTAGGTGAATAAAACAGAAGCAAAGGTTTAGTAGAGTCGATTGTGTGACAGCTGACAGGGGTGAATCTCAGGGAGGAGGCTGTCCAGGGTACAGGAGTTGGTAGGTGATCCAATGTCAGAATCCCAGTGGACCTCACTACTGCATATCTCTGTGATGTAGGTGGGGTTCCATGTAGAATTTTCCTTAGGATGTACATTTGGGGCAAATTTTCCCATTTGAGACTGAATGTGGGAGGAATGATTTCCAAATTCATGTCATGGGAACGGCTCATCTAAAGATGGTTTCCAGACTCTGTGATGAGAGTAAGCTCCTCTATTTCCCCAAATTTTTTCTTTGGGGTCATCAAGAATCAATTTTTAAATTTTTCTTTTATATTGAAATATAGTTAATTCATAGTGCTATATCAGTTTCAGAGGTACGACAAAGTAAATAGTTTATACATACACACATTGGTATCTGTTCTTTTTCAGATTTTTTTCCCATGTGTGTATTTACAGAATATCGCATGTAACACCCTGTGCTATATAGTAGGACTTTCTGGTCAGTCCGTCTTGTGTATAATACTTTATATCTGCTAACCGCAAACTCCCAATCCTTCTCTTCTCCAACCTCTTGCCCCTTGGCAAACACAGGTCTGTTCTCTATGTCTATGCATCTGTTTCTGTTTTGTAAGTTACTTCCTTCATTTTATACTTTAGATTCCACATACAAATGATAGCAGGTGACATTTATCTCTTCTTTATGACTCACTTGACTTAGTATGATCATCTCTAGCTGCATCCATGTTTCTGCAAATGGCATGACTTCATTCTTGTTTATGGCTAAGTAATATTCCATTGTAAATATGTCATATATTTTTCTTACCATATTCAGCTGGAAGCTAAAATTTTTATTTGCTTTTTTTTTTCATTTTTTTTCTCAACAGAAATTTAAAAGCCAAAATTTAGCCCACATCAGTGTCATTTTCAGACAGCTCTGAGGCTTAATTTAGAAAGTTTAAAGATCTACTTTGAGAAAATCACCTTCTGAAGGAGAATATAATTCAAATGCAGATTTCAGACTGTGTGGTTGGAAAGCCTTCACTGGTCCTGTCAGAATCATGTGAGATTAAACACTGGTCTTGTACTAAACATGAGCTCTCTTTAATTCCAGTTCTCCTGGAGGAGGGATGTCTGTGGACAACCATCAGGTCAGGACTGATGGGGACACTAAGTAGTTTTCACCAACGTGTGGGGATTCCTGCTTCTCTCTGATAACTCTGGTCTGCAAGATCCCTACAGGATAAGACCTTCTCTCCAAAGGTCTCAGCATTAATCAGCCAACCAATTTATTATTTAATATGACTCAAGAGAAGAGGCATTACCTAGTGTAACAGAAAAGCTCTCTACTGATAGAATGTAAGTTGTTGGGGTGAAAAAAATCTTACCAGCAAAATTGTGAAGGTATGAAATCACCATGTGTTTTTACTGATTGATTTACTGGAATAGCATTAATAATAGGCTATTTTCACTTACACAGGAGTCGTTGAAGAGTAAATTCACAGGGAGGACAAACACCTGGGGAAATATTGAAAGGACAGGAAAACAAAAGCCACTGATTACTATCATTCCCCAGTATTTGCAAGGCTTTTTTTTTTTAAAGAAAGAATTTTTTTAAAGATTTCTTTTGGAGAGAGATTTTGTTGATGAATTGATTTTATTCATGATGGTATATTTACATACGACATGAATGATATGTTAATGAAAAAGCATAATTCCATTACCAATTCCGAATATCTTCGCAATACAGTTCTCGTCAACCCTTTTCAGCTTCTTGAGTATCTCCAAGGCTTTCTCATCAATACTTACTATAACAGAAAATATGACACAGAAAGCAGAATTTTGCCCCTTAGATCCCAGGGAAAATTCTGAACATAGAACAAGAAGTTGAGTGTCCAAGTCAAATCTTCACTTGATATAAATTAATCATCAAACAGTTATCATATCCCACAATACAGATATCTGCTGTCTGTCTTAAGATTCATGTCAAGGTATGACAAAAACCACTACAATATTGTAAAGTAACTAGCCTCCAACTAATAAAAATAAATGAAAATATATATATAATTAAATTAAAATTAAAAAAGGATTAATCCTTGTCCAAGTCTGTAACTAGATCCCACAGATGCTGTAACACCATCAACAGCAGAACCCCAACAACTCATAGGAGCTCCATGAATTCGGGGTTCCATCCATCACAGTGCTTAAGAGTATATTGTGAAACTGGTATAAACTGAAGACATTGAGAGGGCCCTCTTTGTAACCATGGCCTGAAATTAATTGAGTGTTAAAAATAAAACCTAGAAGCGAACACAATATTGCAATTTTCCTCCAGTTAAAAAGAAATGATTGCTACCAAGTTTTTTAATTTGTTGATGTCAACAGGTGGAAATTGTTTAGAAATGTCTGCTGATCTGATTCCCCACCCCCTTACAAACTTCTCTTTCTTGGTAGATTACGTTCCAGGGTCTTGACCTTAGTGAACATAAACACTTAGGTCCTGTAGACTGCATAGTGGATATTGTCATCACATTCTGAGTTTATGGATAAAAATACTGACAGTGGCAATGTTTCATGATAATGTAGGTGTGAAAATGAGGGTATCATACATACGCAGTATTACAGTGAATCGTATCACCCGGCCTTGTTCATCCACATACACAATACATACTGTCCGAACGGTGTCAGACACATCAGTGACTATAATTTCTTCTATCCACTCACCTGTGAGAGAGAGAAAAGATAGGTATATGCAACCACACCTTAGTTTATTGTCAATTAGACTTAGTGGGGCAAATTGAGGATATTAGCAGCGGTACATCCTGTATTGAGGTGTTTGTCACTCCATTGGGATGAATGCTGCAGTTATTATGATGGTAAGGAAAGCAGGGAAGACTTTTTTATCCCCAACTTTTCATACAACTGATCTGATGCACTTAAATTGGTCAAATATGCACCCCTTAGGCCAGGTAAAAGTAGTAATGTCATTTAGGGCCATTATAGTAGCTTCAAAATATAAATCTTAGCCAAGATCTTCATGGCTTTGGACAGCAGCTGCCTTTATGGTTGAACTCAACATGATTTCCTTGGATTCAAGTTCATCCGCTCTGCCTTGGATGAACTAAGATGTTTTAAGGTTGTTTTCCACAGAGTGAATGACACTGACATGCAGACTGAAGATAAACTTTGAGATGTCATTTTGTAAGGCTGTTGTAATTAGAACTGTACAAAATGCAGGTCTACATACGTTATTCACTTTGAGTGTGTGTGCATGCTTAGCCAATCAGTCGTGTTTGACTCTTTGCGACCCCATGGACTGTCGCCCACCAGGATCCTCTGTCTCACTGAGTAACGTTCCTAATCAGGAGGAGATTTCCATGCTGTGTGTTTGAACCATTGTCTCACGACAGAGTAAAGTGCTTGGAAATCTTAGGGATTGCAGCCTGCTGACCCTTCTGATTGTTAGTAGGAGCAGAATGCAGGTGTGTGGGGATATCGAAGGACATTGTGCCAAGATTTCCACCCAAAGATACTCTGACCAGGAAAACACTCATACTTACTATCAGCACTGTTAAGTCCACTCATCTCACCTTTTCCCCTTGACATGTATTATTTTCCATTCTCCATCCACCCTTAAAAACAGAATATATTCAAGTTGGGTGATTAAAATAGTAAAAAATTTGGCATGTAATTAGGATTTTGTTTCTCACCAAATATGGATTGTGAGCCTGTGATCAATGTGACCTTAAAAAGGGAAGAAGTGTGTTCTCTAAGGTCAAGTAGCTGTGAAGTGACAAGGATGGCTTGTGGGCACATTAAATCTGAAGCGTAGTTCCAGAGATAAACTGCACATACAAAGTAAGTCTTGTTGAAAGCCAAATCAACATGGAGAAATGTAGCATTTTAGGAGAAAATAATAAGAATATACTTAAAAAAAAAACACTTCCTGCAAGACAGACTTTGTGAGTTCTCACAATCTGGGCAATGATTAATTAGATAATATGATAGGAAAAAAATCACAAAAAAGTTAGAGAAATATGTGTAATCAAAACACATGCTCTTCTTCCATCATGACATCATAAGAGAATTAAATGCTTAAAGACACATGTACATATGCATATATACTGACACATAAGCAAACAAAGAAGCACAATGTATGCTTCTGTGACATAAGGAAATTATATATAATGTATGATATGTAAAAGTTGTCAGCTGTATAATAAAAGACCTTGACTGACTTCTTATATGTCATGGGTGATAAAAGGTGTGTTTGTCACATAGGAAGCATGCTTATGAAAGAAATATTAAAAAGGAAATGTCAAGAATTGGAATAATTTTTGAACAGACAATTTGGCAAAGAATGTCCACAATGAATTGTGTTCAATGTCATGAGTCGTTAGGAAAATGCAGTGAAGTTACTCAGAATAACCATAAAGTGGAAACAAACCCATTTTGCAATACCTGGAAAATATACAAAATTTTATACATGTGAGCAACATCCTTTCACTTGACTTGAAAAATGTGACTCCCTGCATATGCAGAGACAGAGATTAATATTTAAAACATAATGCTGAGTGATAGAAACTGAGGAAAATGATGCAGGTCTCATAATGTTGTCATCTGAAGTTCTAGAAGAGCAGAGAATAAGGAGATACATTGTTACTTGTGGTTCAAGGGGTAGACATTTAATGACAAGGAAAAGAAGATATTTGCCAGAGATGGAGGAATTTTAGATTTGGACTGTGAGAGTCATGAAAAAGGTGTGCAGGTATAAAGACATACTAAACTATGCAATGCACAAAGGTGCTTTCATTTAATTACACATAAATACACTTAAGTGCAGTTGATTTCCCAAGGTGCAACCACCTTGGGAACCAATTTTCCCAGTTTTTCCCAAACAGAAAACCAACTTTCTGTTTGAAAAATCAAACAGAGTTCAAATGTTGTTAAAATGGCAAAGAGGAAGATAATATGGTATTCTTTGCAAAAAACAGTGAAAACAGACAGCTACATCACCTGTGATAGGATATGCATGTGTTTGTGTGTGACTCTGTGTGTTTGTATCTGTATGTATGGTTGTAATTGACTATAATTAAACTATTATATATTACATATACAATATATAAACAATTATACATTTATATACCTGTAAACCGGTCTCTCTAAGAAGAAATCTCTTAGTTGTTATTTCTTACTGTTTTTATTCCTCCATATACCTCCCTGAGTCTGCATGTTCTCGGTGAACCATCTGCAGTGTAGTGGATATCCCTGAGTGGTCCTTAGGGCTGTGAGGCTTTAGTAAACTCAGTGGTGATGAAACCTCCCATGAGGAAGACCCGAGGGCAGAGCTCACCATGTGCTTCACACATCCCCCAACCCCCACCCTCAGCTTCTGGGCTCAGTGCGAACCATCTCTTACAGATTCTGCAGGAAGGGGTCAAACCCTTGGCAGGGACTGTGGGTTCCAGGACACGATCCTCTTCCCGCTGCATTGTCCCTCTTTCCTTTAATGAGTTGATGCCAGTGGAGCTTCTAGGAGCCCCCATCCTTCTAGGCAAAGGTTCCAGAACATTCCCTGGAGGCTCTCTGGGGAACTGCCCCCCCCCCCCCCCGCCAGGTCAGAGACCCTGCTCAGCCCCACAGCTCAGGGCGTCCTGCTCTCAACATCACCCAGAGAGCTCCCTGCAGACAGGAGAGAGACACCCTCCCTCAGGCTCAGGGCTTTATAGGTGTTTTCCCTCTGGGTAGTCTTACTTACTCAACATAAATATCGAAGTCTATTGTGCCCTGTTCCTCATCAAACACAAGATGACACAAATAAACCCCGGATGACACTTTCTCATCGGGATTCACTAGGTTCCTGGTGGCAGTAAACACGGGTATCCATATTCCTGAAAGCTAACAACAAAATTCCTGTTAGACGTTTTTGCGCTCGTTTTTAATTTCATCTGGCATCATACCACCTAAGTTTCCCATCCCTTCTGCACATCAGCACACATTATCTCACTTAACTGAACAAAGAAGGGTTGATGAAACAATGTAAAACTGAAGTCAGAGGAAAAAAAGACGGAATTGAGGTATTTCGGAGCTAGCTTATGCTCTGATGTCAAATGGAAGAACTTGAATCCAACAGCTATTTCGCTGGTCCTCTTTCTCTGCTATAAGAACAAGGAAAGATGCTTAACTGTCAACTAATACACAGTAGAGATGATAGAGACAGCCAATAGAAAACGTAGAGAGCAAGGAAATGGAGCAATACTGAGTTGGAGGGACATGGCTCCATTTATGGATCCAAATAACAAAACAACAAAGGGTGCTCACACACACACACCCAAGACCTCCTCCTAGATCAGACCGTCCCTGGAACCTCCGAGACACTTTGCTCAGCTTCCTCTTCCTGGGCAGAACAAACCAGACCAAGGAGAAGAGTCAGGAACAGAACCTTCATCTTGTCTCTCTCGTGGACTTCCTTCTGTCGAGGTTGAAGGTGTCCGAGTGGTTGGAGAGGATGGGAATTGTGACAGTTTTTATAGGATCGCTATGTCGATGTGACGCATCATTAACCAGTGGTTGTTCCTCCTAAGCCCAAGCTTACACAGGAGTCATCTTCAATATGCTGCTTCACAGGGTTGAAATTGTATGGCATTTTGTCATTTACTCATGAGGATGGTTTCAGGATGAAGGTTGAGTGAATCTGGACACTTGACCTTTAGAGTGACTGAGAAATCACAATACACTTCCCATATTTCAGGTCAGGAAGATTTATTTTCCTTTGCATCTTGAGATCCAAAATGGGATAAACTGTCCAGGACACACATCCCCGACTCCTGTATTGCCTGTACGTTTTCTTAACATTGAGCAAGTGGTTTAAAATTTATTTTCTTAAAATAAAATTGAGTGTGTGGTTTCACATAGTTAGTTAAACAATTTCCTGAGAAAACCTTAGAAAGACTCCTACTTCTCCAAAGTGAGGAGGACATCAGAACAAAGTGTTAATCAACTCCTCCTGCCCCACAATAGGTTCTGTTCTCCTTGTAACTAACAGCATGATCTGATCAGTACCCCTTAATGCGCTCTGAAAGGGTATGTCAGCAATGCATTTTCATCTTTACCTTTGAAGACACCCCTTAATCCATCCAATCTGTAATGTATCATTCACTCATTGACTCCATTCTTTCTCAGGCAAGTGAGAAAGCAAGACAGTAGTTCTTGTAATATCTAGTATTTTGAAAGGGAAAAAAAATTCCTAATTCTAACTGCCTAGTTATTTTCAAGGTCACTCAAACAGTGCAAGAATCAGTTCTTTGTCACTTTTCTCAACCAGGGATCTTAGTTCCCTGACCAGGGATAGAATCAGCAGCCCCTGCAGTGAAAGTGTGGCATCTTTACCCCTGGACCACCAGGGAAGTCCTGATTCAGACTGTTTCCTGAGGGTTTTGTTCTTGATGAGCAAACTTGGGCAACCATGTGAATAACAGGACAATTTCTTGGTGAAAAGAAAGACCAAAGGATGTGTTAAGGACTCTGAATTCATGGCCATGTCCAAGGTTCATTCAGTCACACGCAAGGGAGTGTGGGTTCAAGAGTAGGGTTCATGGTCAGCTCTGTCCAGTGGACAAGGGAGAAGGATCTAGAAGGCTGGGGACACTGGCCCAGGTGTAGTCTAGAAGAGACTCAGCACCCCGACAGTGACTGGTTGTCCCTGAGACCTGTGACACCAGGGA